CCTTTGAAGTGTTAGCAGATTGTTTATTGCCTCATTTAGTGGTAGGACATAGTTTCACCAACTAATATTTCTACCTGCAATGGTGGATTTTGATGCCAGATACCCTCATCTTTTTACGTGAGATATGTGTCCCATCAAATCATCAAATATATTGAGTGGACATGTGCAACATAATTATATAGAAAATGTTCATCTCGATGTGTATTTATTCACTAACTCAGCACTAAGGGAGTGCTATGAGTTACAAAAGAAGCAAGGCCATCCCTGTTACTAATGTAGGGTGCCTATGAAATCCAAAATTCATTACATCTTAATAAAATGAAAATATACCTAAGAGCTAAAGCAATTGAACAAATTACAAAAGGCCCTCAATCTATGACGAGGATTAAATTTTCCTTCAAAGCAACTAGTTATTCTCTTCTTCCAAGAGTCTAAACAGTAAAACTGGGTTTTTTTTTCTGCATTTGCTTAGTAGTCCTTTTTCAATAACCGTGGTGTACCTCGACTGTTCCACCAATTACCTGCTGTTTTCCACCTGCATAGGGATCGGGTAATTCTATCCACCAAGACTTAGGCCAATGGGAAGAAATCACCTAATATTTTTTTGTCTCTATGTTGGGATTTTGAACCCTAGTTTTCCATGGTTTTCACCCTCTCCATTAACTGTTAGACCACACCCCTTGATTCTTGGCATCATCCAATGCAACCTAGAAGTCTTCAGAATCATATTACATCTTCCTTGCTATTCCATGATGTGAAAGTGAATGTTTAATATGTTCACTATCCATCAGACTCAAATAGCATATGTCACACAGATGAAGTCCCAAAACAAGTGGGGTTGACATCTTCACTCTCCGACCACAAGATAATATCTGAAGGCCCCTTCTCAAATTTTCTCGTGTAAGACATGTTTCATGCATAATACCCATCCAAAACAGGATACTTTTGTGGGGGTTCTACTCTTCCAAAAACCTGCCATGCCATATTTTATCAGCTTTCATTGAATGGACCATATTTTGGTACCATGCTATAACTGTAAAAGTACCTTTTTGCATCTTTCCGCATAATCAGATCTCCATACTTCACAGCCACCTAGCTCCAGACTTTTCAGTAATGAAATCTTTCCTTTTACCTCCTAGTTCTTCTAAAGGCGATATTCCAACTCCATTGTCTATGCACTGAGTCATGGTGGCTTCTACATTTGTGGTGAATTCTTTGAGACGCATATGGCCTAGCCACTGAGTTTGTATTCGCCTAGACTAGATAGTTTTATTCTTCAAAAGATAAAATTGCATTTCCAAGAACAAGGCTTTAATTTTCCAAATCTCTACTTGATTGTAAGACTAGAAAAGTAATTCTTAGAGCTAATAGAGGAGATATATGGAAACCTTCCTCTTGCTTGAAGGAAACACTGCGAGACCATTAAGTGTCTGATGCTCTGATTAATTTGATGTTATTAATGTGCACGTTTGTATGTTTTCATATCTCGAATTGTTTGAATGCATCAAATCTATTTGTGTCCTAACTTTTGTAGAACTAACTTATGAATTGTCTAACACAGGGGTCGATGGTGTGGGCACGGTATCTGCATCTCTTGTGACATATGCTTCTATCCAAGCATTAAAGCCAGACCTCATCATAAATGCTGGCACAGCAGGTGCATTTGGGGTAAGATTTTTGCCTACACATTCTGAAATAAGCCCCCCTTCCTCTTTTCCTGATACGCCCTCTTTCCCAAGGTACTTGTCTCATCTCTCTTATCACACGTTGATTAGATTAATCATCTGTGCAGAATTGGACATAGGAGTATAGGACAGTTCATCTTTTCCAGTAAAATGTAGACTTTTAGAAACTACACAAAGATAACAATTTGCAGCTTGTCCATTTAAAGATATGAAAGAACACAATTACAAAATATTTGTCAAATATTTTTCCTATCCTTTCCTCTATGTTGAGCAACCCTGTATAAATTATTCTTTTGATATGTTAGTTTTGCCTGACGTTTAGTTATTTTCAGGCCAAAGGTGCTTCAATTGGAGATGTGTTTCTTGCATCAGAAGTTGCTTTCCATGACAGAAGAATACCAATCCCAGTAATGTTCATTTCACATCCTCTTTCTCAATTTTTTTTTCCTTTCTCAAAAAAAAAGTTCATTTCCCATCCATGCTTCAGGCCTTTTGAATTCTATATGTTGTGCAAGAAACATATGGAATGCAGGAAATAGGATCAAAATTGACGCTAGGATGACGAAATATTTGCCTTTGCTACTATACTTCTAACAAGAGATCACAATTCCCGTTATTATTGTGGTTAAACTTCTATCGTTAACATTTTCCCAGTATATTTACTTGACTTGGTGCTTCAACCGTGCTAAAGGAAATAGGGATTGATAATTTTATTATAACAAAAAAGAGGAGATTTGGATTGATAGTCAACTGAAAGAAATTCCTGGTTTTTTATTGGAAACCTCAATAGATGATTCACCTACTTTGTAATTTGGATAGCGTTGTTGGTAATATCATCAGCAAGTAACTAAAGGTTGTTGGCTGCACTCGTGCACCTGCAGGTATTTGATATATATGGAGTTGGATCGCGGAAGGCTTTTGCTACACCCAATCTTCTGAAGGAGCTTAACCTAAAGGTAAACACTGTTCACCTGTGCATATAAAAGAACCAAATCTAATAGCTCATAGCTCACATGCTTTGATATCTATCCTTGTCTATGGCTGGTGGATGTACTTTTTGAGTGTGGCTTTAGCTGCTTTGTCATTGAGTTAAAATTATGTGGGTTCAGATTGTCCTTTGATTGTCATTTTGTCAAGCTGGATGGTGGTTGCATTTTGCTACAAAATCGACACACTACGTCTCAATTCCAAAGTAATTTTGGTTGATTATATGAATTCTTAATAGCGTTTCTGCTCCATTTTGATTCAATAATATGAAAACTCCCCACAACTCAGTATGTGTCAGTACTTGTACATTATCTGCAATCTTCTTCCAAATGCAACACTTGAATATAGTCCAGCTAGACAAGTCTTACCAACTTAAAAGGGCAGCCCGGTGCCTAAACTCCCGCTATGCGCGGGGTCCGGTGAAGGGCCGGACCATAAGGGTCTACCAGTTTACCAATTTAAGATGTGGTAAATTTTTATCCTGTGATGTCTACCAGTTTTACATGACCTCTAAGCAATTTCTTTAATTGGCAGATTTGCCTGCTCATGAAATGGCATGTGAAAATGGAAAGTGCCAAATTTCTCATTGTTAAAAATTTCTAGAAGAAAATCTATGGATGATCTAGATTTTAGCTTGGAAAGACTTTTGGTCTACATGCTGTTTTGTCAGTTTATTTATTTTTATATGTACACTTGTTTCCACTATTAACTTCTTATTATTTCCCGGCTCGCTAATAGTGTGCATATACTTGCAAAGTCATTACGTTTACTTTGGCATATCTTAATAGCATTAAAGTTATCGTGAAATTACTGTTCGCGTTTCAGGTTGGTAAACTGTCGACTGGTGACTCTCTAGATATGTCTCCAATGGATGAAGCATCTATCGTTGCAAATGATGCAACAATTAAAGATATGGAGGTAACCGTCTAAAAGTCTTAAGTTCAGTATGATTTCATTTTGGGAAGACTTAGAGAAACTAGTGTCCTGTGCACAGGTGTTTGTTCTGTATTCTATGCCCCTGGTCATTTTGTTCCGACGATTTAGCGGATGTCAAATATTGTTGTGCGGACCCATTAATATGTCTACTCTTTCTGTCTAGGATGTCCTTATTTTGAGAATATAAGATCCAAATGTAGTAAGTAACTTATCCAAAAAAAAAGGAAAAAAAAAAAAGAGAAGACCCAAAGGAAGTAACTTTTCTAGCTCCACATACTACGTATATCAGATAAACTCGTCTTCTAAGAAATTTACATCTCAAAGTTCGCTTTTCTTAAAATAATAAACAAATCTCCCCTCCAAATACAAAAATAAAATACAATCCCTCGCAGGCAATGATTAATGGTATTGTTAGGTATGATATTTGAAAACTCTAATTGTACTGCATGTTATTTTGTAGCTTTGGTTTAACAAAAAAAAAAGAGCACTATGTTCGTGTAGCTTTGCTCTCTCTTGTTAGGGCATCGATTTCTCTCTTTTTCTGATCCATTTGCTTTTGGGTTTCAGGGAGCAGCCGTAGCTTATGTGGCAGATCTGTTGAAAGTTCCTGTCATTTTTCTGAAAGCTGTGACGGACATTGTGGATGGCGATAAACCAACAGCGGAGGAGTTTTTGCAAAATCTGGCAGCAGTAACAGCTGCTCTTGATCAAACTGCCACCCAAGTTGTTGATTGCATCAGTGGGAAATGCTTGTCCGAACTGTGATTTAATCTTTATTTCATCCCGTACATGCTTCAGTGGGAAACGGACAATACTGGGTTTCCAATATCTGTGGTCTCATTAGGTGACTTTCAGATTTCTGGGCAGTGGAATTCCTTCGAACTGCATAGTATTCTTCTAGTGTGCATTGCATCAGCGTCAAATTGTTCCAGCTAGTTTCTAAACGTAGCTGCTGTTTTGAAACTGTTGTAAAATTAATTAAGAAATTGTATGGAAATTGTGGTTGGAGAAGGTGAGTGGTATTCTTATATAATGTGTTTTGATAATGAATTATCTGCAAAGCACATGAACTACGGTTTAGCAACCTCAGAACCAGTTTCTAATTGAATTATTTGAGTTGAATTTTGTTTTAAAAGATAGTAATTCTTGACTTTACTATCAGAATTTATGTATAACGGTCCTTATATGATTATTAATCGCATAATAATTCATGAATTATAATCTCTGCTTAATCAGTATGTAGACCAAACAATCCTCTTGTTTTCAAGAGCTGACCAGCTATTATTGACACAGAGATGAACTTCTTACGCATAAGAGAGACTATACTCTACATTATTTAAGAGAATTTTTCTCCAATTATACTGCTTTAACAAAAATATTTCTCCACCAGAATGCAGTCGACCTAAGTACATTATAATAAACCAGAATGCCACCAACCACATATCAACATTTAGCAGTACTTAATCGAGATTAAACTTTTAGACTTGCCAAAATCATGAACATCTTGTTCCTCAACTAATCACAAGAACTACATAATCAACAATCTTGGGCCCCTCTACATTGTGATGATATAACTAGAACTCTTTATTTAATCGAATATAAACTATATAGTAGGAGTTATAAATAGAAAGTAGTGCACCCAGGGCATTCAACGGCAAGCTGTGAGTACTTAGTACATGGGGAGATTGGAGAAGATGGAAGGAGGGAAGAAGATTAACACAGGAAACGCTACCATTCTGGCTCTGGGCAAAGCCTTCCCTCATCAGCTTGTCATGCAAGAGTTTTTGGTTGATGGCTATTTCAAAAACACCAACTGCGACGATCCAGCACTCAAGCAGAGGCTCACCCGGCTATGTAATCTCTTTTTCTTTCTTTCTTTCAGCCTTTTAACAGTAAATGTCGAACTAGATTTTCATGTTGATCAGGAACAGACAATCGGAGTTGTAAGATAACCCGGACAAGCTAAAGTGCCCCATTGTTGAATGAGTTGTTTCGTTATATGAATTTGAGTAATCCTCATTTCATGAGCTAGCTTCTGAGGTTGAGTTAGATACAATGAACATTTTCTTAACATGACACTAGAGCCAGACTCATCCCGATGTTGAGCCCCCCCCCCCCCCTT